TTATTTTTATGGGCTTTTAAAACATTGCTGTCTAATTAATTATCTTGAGAAGAGTGACTTCCTTGAATTGAAAGATGTCAATTTTAAAGACTTAAGAGAAATGCATATTGGGAAAACCTGCACATTGGAGCCTCAAATAGAACCTAAAAATTCATGATATTAAAACACCACCACCAACAACAACATATCACTGTTTTAGAATCCTACCAGAAGAAAACCATTGCCAACTCCCAAAAGTTAATGTCAGAAAATACTTATGAAAGCAGAGTTTATTAAATTACATAAAAACAGATGTCCTTGTAAGCTACTAGATGTAAAAGCACCTCAAACACTTCTAATGGAATTATGTCTTCTGAGTACATTGTGTGGAAGGAAGGTATAAAGAACACTAGAAGATAAGGTGCAAGAGACTTCACCTGGGGCTGCTTAATAACAACAATGTGTAATCTTTAGCTTGAAGTTAGACCTAATTCTGAGATTTTAATACACTCATGTTTGTATTAGTGAATGCCCATACCTTCAAAATCCAATCCATGTCCACAGCTACCTTTGCTCTTCTTTTTGTATTGTAATCTTAGACTAATATCAATCATGATCAAGGAATTGCTATATTATGTAGAGCTTGCAAGGATTTCTGAAAATTTGGTATTGTAATGTTTCCCTCCCATTTTTCTATTAAGTTTACATGAGCCAGAGATAACCTAAGTGGATTCTGTATAAAATCAAATACTCTTCTCTTTAGTCCCTGACAAGAAAACAGGCTCCTCTTAGTTTCTGGTGTCATCAGGGACACTTCCACTGGCCTGGTTGTTCAATTTCTAAGCTTCTGACTCTGGACCTTTAGCTTCTGTATCCAATTAACTAGGAGATAATGGCAACTCTCCCTCCCTCTGCAGTGTGAGCTAACACCTGCTCTCCCTTTAAAATGGGGTTCAAACATCAACTCCTCTAGGAAGCTCTGTTGAACCCCAAAGCCTGGTGGGCCTCTTTCCTTTATATTTCTGAAACACCACAGATGCCCATTTTTTTTACCAAACTTGCTGCATTTTGTTATTATGATCGGCAAGAATAACATCCTAGGATTGTGGTTCTCAACTTTTGTAACATATTAGAATCACCAATACTTAAATTAAAACCTCGCTGAATCAGAATCTCTGGGGAGGTAAGGCCCAGGCAAAATGTTTTAAAAGCAGCATTTTTCAAATTTTATTGTACCAACAGTTCACCTGGGGTTCTGGTTAAAACACAGATTCTGATTTTATAAGCTCTGGGGTGGGACCTGAGATGGTATATTTTGAACAAGCTCTCACAGATGCTGCTTATGCTAAACCACTTCAAAGTTGCCTGCAAATGGTCATGCATTTTAGGAAAAAAATATCCTTATCTATATCTGTATCTATGTTTATATCTTATGGTCACAAACTCTTACCCAGCACAGGACTCCTCTCCAGTTACCTCTACCTGCCATCACCTTTTTGTATGAGTGGAATTGTTGAGATTTTTCTCATAAATGAGAATTTGGTTCATCAGTATTTCAGCTACAATTGTTCTTCACCACTTTCATCTCAGGGAATGCATTCTCCCCAGCCCTACCTTTTTCTTGTTTCCCCTCTCATCCTCACTGGTTGTGCAACACAGTGGAAGGCTGAGGGGCATCAAGAGAGGGAGAGGAGGCAAGTCCCACTGCTGTAGCTTGGGCTTCAGCTTCTAAGCACACTCTATTTCTTTACATCATTGGACCTGGGATTCCCTCTTGGGCTCTCGTGACCTTCTGTGACCCCCCTTTTCCTCTCGTACCCCTGAAAGCTCTCTGCTCCCCACTCCCATCTCATATTTTCCTTGCTCACCACAGTCACGACTATCTCTTCTGACTTACCCCAAGATAATATAAACATCAAATGTTTGTAATAGAAAATATTTTTCTTTGGAATTTAAGCTCTATGTGCTCAACAGCATTACTTTTCCTCACTTCACACTTCTATCCTTCCACATACGGATCAGATCAATCTTCTCTGTTTTAGGCAACCTTGTTAGGCTCTGGGTAATTATTGTTTAGTAGGGCTAATGGCAAGATTGAAGCCTTTTTTAGTTTTTGTGCATCTTATGTGCCAACTTAACTAGAGTCCCATGGTTCCCGGAGTGTGTGCCAAGGCAGCCTGGGATGCAGCAGGAAACTCCTCTGAACTTTTTTTTTTAAAAGTTCATGGGACAGATAGGCACATATCACCGCCATCAGCCCCCTTGAGAATTACTGGTTCAAGTTAGTTCTCAATTTCTACAGTAGGTGGTGCTGCACTCCATTGAATGATGTCATTTGTAACCCAAGTTTTCCATAGCGGCTGTGATAAAAGCAACCGCAGTACAAAAATCATTGTGGAAAAGGAAACAAGGAGGGTGGTATCAGATCTGACAGAAAAGTTGTGCAATGCCCAAGAAATGCATATATTCCATTTGTAAGTAACTGTGGTTAAGAGTGAAATAAAAATATTCTTTTTTTCTGTCAATTAAGACACATTATTTTTTTTTCGAAGAGTTACTAGATTGTTAGAGCAGAAATACTAAGTTGTTTGAGCTTGTTTAATACATGGAAACATTAGGTGTTTCTTTTACCTTAAGGCCACTGTTAAAAAGACCTTTAGAGAATGTTTTGGAACCTCTGCTCTAGTCTAACATTGTCCTAACATGGATGATATGAATTATTACATCAGGTGTCTATTTTATTCCATGTCAATTAAAGGTGACCAAATGGCCACAGATGAGGGACACTTGTTTCTCTTTTTTTTTTTTTCTGAAAAATGATTTTTCTTTTCCTCATGTCTCATAACTACGAGAAGCTGAGGGAGGGAGGGGCAAGAGGGAAGAGCAGATGATGGTGAGGTAGGGAAATTTTTCAAAATATCCATGTGCGACGAGTCTGGTTAAAGCTATCACTGCAAAGGGATTTTACCATTATCCTCTATAATTTCCACCCACTGAGATTTGTTAATTACCCCATTTTACTTCTGCAGTGATATAGAAGTCAATGTTCCACTAGACTGCATTGCACATTTGTTTAATAGAGCATATACAATGATTTTTTTCACCAGTATTAGTAGTTTCTTTACACACCTATTGTGTGCTAGCCTAAACTGCGTGTCTCAGACCACCCTGCAACTCCACCAGGTATGCATTGCTTCATGTATGTTCTAGATGAAGAGATGAAAACCTGAAATAGTTAATAACCTGCCCTGGGTCACAGTGGCAACTGGCAGCACAGGGATGCTCCTCGGATCTGCTTGAGTCCACAGCTTGCAATTGGACCTCTCACAATTATAACTGTGAAACTGATTCTTATGCAGTTTAGCTGCCACTGCTTCTAGTAGTCTGAAATATCCTGGACTTTCTTTAAGAATATGTGGCATCATTGACATAACACGGCATCACAATTTGAGAAGAAAAGCAGAAAAGAAAAAAGTGGGGGAAGGGGGGTCAATCCTTTAGACAAAGCACTTTTTAAAACTTAATCTTCTTTGGCAATAAGATATTTGTGCTGTAAAAAGTGCTTTAAAGAATTAAAGATTTTTTTTTTAAACAATTCACCACCACCCTATTAATACAGTGTTTTTCAAATTTCACAAAGGAAATGCAGTACAAGTAAATGAACTGTCTTTCCTCAGTGGTCACACAGTGTGTGAGTTTCACAGCAAATCCGTGGCTACATCCTTGGGGGATCTATGTTGATGTTCACCCTTTCACTGAGCACTTCCTTTCCTATTTTATTCCACATTAATAATTCACTTCGCTGGAACATTGCCTGGTTATCTCAGCCTAAGCCACGGTCGGCTTTTCTCCTTCATTCATAGTGGTAAATACTTAGAATATTTGCACACAGTGATTCAGGGATATTTGATCACAGATTGAAGTGTGAACATGCAGCTCTCGGAATCGGCAAGACTTATTCTATTTGCATGATACCCTAATAGAGGCGTTCAAAAATAATTGCTATGATAAGAAATGAAGACATTTTATATCTGTTTTTTTTTTTTATGTTCATTCTCATTTTGTTTATGTAAGGGATGCGTATCAATACTTTTTTCTCATCAATACCATCTTATGGAACGCAGAATCTGCAAAGCATGAGCCCACATTCCTGGCATTTCTTTTACCTCTTTGCAGTATGCAGATATTCTGCCACAGGAAGGTAGGTGATGATACAATTTCAGTGACACTCATGATGACAGTCAACCCAAGCTGCTTCTCTGACTCAGCTCCAGGAATTGTAAGGGCTATAATAAGCCATGCCTCCTCACTCTACTTTCTAGAGTCAGTAAGATGGTCAGAAACTGTTTAGAAATAGCACCTTTACATAACCATTTTTCTCTTTTGCCAACCTGGCTACAAGTAAATCATAGAATTTAAAACATCTCATTTTTGCCAATTACCTGAGATGAGATTAAGGCTAAATAGTAACCACTGCCAAGATAACCACCACATCTGACCCATGGTGCTGGGTTTTAACAACAAAAATCTTCATTTGGTCCAGAACAGAGACGGCGTAGGTAGCAGAGTTAAGAAATAGTTAATTTGAATTTGGCCAAAGGACTCCAGCTCAGAATGTTTGCTTTCAGATGAGGAAAAGGAACCTACCTCTCCTTACAGCATAATCTCTCTATTCCTATTTTTAATCCACCCTACTTTATAAAATAGCTGGACCCCATTTTTCAAGCTAAAGTAAAAATTAAAGGATTTATGATAATCCTATGCGGATGGTTGTGGGCGTTTCATTTTTCACTGAAGCATTTTCTCTTTCTTTGTTGCACAGCTAACATTTCTCAGCTTCTTGCTACAGTCTTCTTCCCGAAACTACTCAAGTAGGAAAAAAAAAAAAAAAAAAGTCTTACCAGATAAGCAACAATTCTCACTGTACTGGGGAACAGTTGACAGCCTCCCCGTCTATTTATGAGAAGTAACTTCTTCAGGCTTTGAAACCCAGAATGTGAAAGCGCGCACAGGAATCCTACCTTGCCCACGTACTGATAATCCGATCCCGTGTACTCCTCCAGGAGAAAGAACTGATTCCACATCCAGCTCCTTTTCGAACGGTTCAGCTCATTTTTGCTGTTTCCAGAGAGCTCCAGGGCCCTTTTCTTTGCTGGGAAACCACTAGTCCTCTTAGATAACGGAGTGGAGAAAGTTGGGTAGGGCTGACCGACCCAAAAGAGCAGCAAGAAGTACCGGTAAGTTCTCATGCTGATAGCACCGTGAGTCCCGGGTAGCGAGTCCCCCTCTCCTTGAAGCGCCTCTTCTCACTGCACGGTATCCAGCCTCATTCCTCCTTTCTTCCTTAATGTTCTTTGCTTGGCTCTCAGAGGATATCTGGAAAGAATAATAACATATCAAGCATTTTTAGAGATGCTTAAAATTCAGTGTTAGAGCAAATAGGCTGGAAAAGGGGGGCAGAAATTTGAATAGCAAAACAACAACAAAAAAGAGTTGGCTATCAATTTTGAAATGAGGAAACCGGTCTTTCAGATATGCTAAGTGGAAGGCATGTGCCGGTAGGAAGCTGCTGTTTTCCTTCTTTTCTATCACTTAAAAATCCTATTTTAAGTAATAGCGTTGCTATAGGTCAACATGTCAGAATGGATTATTTCACTACTCTTTTACCTTGGAATATGTGGGCTGAGATCTGGTTAGAAGAAACGAGTTTGTGTTTCTGATTCTATTTGCATATTTATCCTCGTGAAATCTAAGGCAAAGAATACCACAGACAATTTAAATTCAATTGAAAGTGGATAATGTTGAAATTTCGGGAGGAGGTATTGCGCACCTGTGTTGTGCCAGGCACCAGGCAAGGCAGAACCTATTCTGCAGACTCTTGGCTGCAGAGATGTGCTGTGTTGGAACAGTTTGGGTCAAGTAAGGTTGGAAAAGACAGTTCCCTTTTCTTCACAGTGCAGGTTAGCATATTGAAGTTTCTGAAGTGATATTTTACACCAATTACAATAAACCTATTTAATTCACATTCTCCAGACTGGACCAGAAAACTATTTTTGCTCTTGAGATTTACTTACATTATAGGATGGGTCAATGAACAACAGATAGAAATTGTATTTAAGAGCTAATAAGAATTAAATGTTCAATTCTATTCAAAATAATTTAGGAGATCCTGAGATTGTTTTATCCCCAAATTTCACTTGTGTCTTAAGCAATCACATATGTATATTAAAATCGGTCAAACAGTTTCTATGTAATTTTCACAGATGCATCAAACATATCTAAGAATCACAGTGAGGACCACCAACAGCAAGATCTTCAGAAAAGTCAGCTATTATACGTGTGGGTAATAATTTTCCATGGCAAATATTAATTTTCAAGAATACAACCTACCATTAAAAGATCCTGGAGCCAGACTGCTTGGCAAAGATCTCCCAACTTGAGTTACTAGCTTATGCTTAAAGTTGATAATGCCTGCCTTCTTCCTGAACTTTTCTACATATCTGGGGTGGGGGGACAATCTAACAAAGTACTCCTTTATCTTACTATTTTATTTTATTTTATTGGTTTGAAATCAGGGGCATTCAACCACTGAGCCACATCCCCAGCCCTATTTTTTATTTTTTTGCATTTTATTTAGAGACAGTGTCTCACTGAGTTGCTTAGTGCCTCCCCATTCCTGAGGCTGGCTTTGAACCAGAAATACTCCTGTCTCAGCCTCCTGATATCTTACTATTTGATGGAGGAAAAGCATTTTATTAAAAAATATTAACAACAACAAGGAAGTACTTTCTAGGGTAGGACATAATAGTAATTGAACTGCTATACTCACTCTAAGCCATGTTAAAGAAACATATTTTAGGGAATTTGATCCGCCTTTTTAAAATTTTAATGTCAGAAGAGAGTGGTTCATTTTATTCCTATTATTCTATCACATAAATGTATACATGACCATTTTTTCCCTCCAGCAGTGAGTAATCATAATCACCTAACAAGTGGCTTAGTGGAAGTTTTCTGTTGGAAGATAAGTGAAATATTTCATGATGTTCAGCATTTTAAAACCTTTTTTCCATTATTATGCATCTTCTTGACAGTAAGCTGGGGAAGTTGAAAATTCTACAGGTGAGTAAATTAGTACTGTGTCAATTAGTCACTCTGGAGAAATGCCAGGCAACAGTATCCTTGTCATTTTGCAGCCTTGGTACAGGTGTGGAATGACTGACGATCAATTAGGTAACGATGATTCTTCTCTCTGCTATGGATGGGGCATAGAGGGGACAAGAGGGCATATGGAGAAAAGCCCTCAAAAGACATTTATTCATTTTTAGAAGTAGAGATCACACTGAGGTTGATTCAGCACAATTACATTTTTCTTAATTTCCTACATTCTCTATTGTTTGCAAAGACAAATCCTGCAGTGAAGAATTACACGTCTGCTGCTGCACTCTGTGTGAGCCCCATGGTGCTGGCAGGAAAGAGGGATGCAGAGAATGGAGGCGTCAGCTGCTTAAAAGGCTGGCTCCTAAAGGCCATTTTAAAGAAAAATCGATCCCTGTGGGTGTTGTATGCAAACTCTACAAGCTGTTGCCACTTGAATATTAAATATTAGTTCTTTTTAATATCACAGATACCAAAATGTCAAGTATTTCATTTTTTTTCTTTGTTGGTAATGAGCTTTTAAAGTGATGCAAATTTAAGCAGTGTTTCCAAGTATTCTATAACGTCTGGTTTGCTATAATCCAGTTCTTTCTTGTATCAACTTGACAGGGTGAGGCCTTGTTAAAAACTCAATATGCAAAACTGAACACCAGGAGCCACTCACATTTGATGTTAGTTTTTTTAGAAGGGCAGATTTAACTTGAAATTCTATGATTAAAAACCCTCTCTAAACTATTAAATATACACATCTTTATAACATTCTTTCTTTTTAGCTTAACAATCCCCATTTAATGTTTCTTAATAGGCAGGATTGCATGGTGGTTAAGATTATCAATGCTGAAGTCAGATTGCCTGTGTTTAGATCTAGGCTCTGAAATTTAGTCTCTATGAATTTGGGAAAATAATCTCACCCTACCTCAGTTTCTTCTTCTGTAAGTGGGGATAATTATGGTATGTACCTCATAGAGTTTTGTAAGGATTAAACAAGTCCTTATGTGCAAAGTACTTAGAACAGTACCAGGGCCTTAGAAAGATATTAGTAAGTGTGATTTATTGTTATATTACTTTCATTACTGTTACTACTATTTGTATTGCTGGTCTAGACTCCATCTATCACACATTTCATGAGTCTGCAGAAGCTGAGTTCTCTCTTAGGCCTAAATACTTTCTTGTTCAGAAAGCATCTTCAAGCAAGTCAAAATTCATTTAAAATTTGAAGCAAAGAAGCACTTGAAAATCAGAATGAATTCTCTGCCTAATTGTTTTCTTTTGTGTGGACTTGGATTCAGCACTTAGTAGTAATAGACACAGGGAAGGCAGCAACACGCTATTTCTGTAACCACTGATTGCACAACAGAGAAGAGCATGGAAAAAGGAGAGTTTGCTAGAGGACTAATCCACTTATAGAATCTGTTCATTTCTTTTGTCCTTTCCATTTTATTATGCTAAGATCTAAAAAAAAATCATCTTTACTTTATTAAGGTAGGGGAAAAACCAGAACTAGCTTCCACTTAGTAATTTTGCCTTTGTACAAATGGTATTGACAATTAACATACTGACATGATTCGTGTGTTATATCAGATAAGAATCAGATATAATTAAATGAAACACAATTTTTTAGGTTTTTGCTTAATCTGAAAATATGAAGTGCAAAGAAAGTGAATATTCTCCTAGCAGGGTTTTTAATGAAAAAAAAAATCAGAAAAATCAGGATTCAAGATGAGGAATAGTCATGAGTTCAAGCAAAGAAAAGTGCTCATAAGTAACGTGGGAAGCTGTTGACTTCTGAATAGTCAAAACACAGGAGGAGTGCAGGGCCAGTGGTATTAGAGGTGGTGACTCATTCATAGATGCCAGGAAGTTGACTGGAAGGACAAGGAAGTAAGAATATACACAGAAGGAACCAGAAATTTTGACAGTGGGAGAGAAGGCAAATATTGTACCATTTTGTGTCCTCCCAACCCCTCCCTTTCATCTCCTCTTGGCATTAAGAGAAACTCAGGAAAATAAACAACTCTATAAAAATTCAAATTCAACTGCCTAATTACAGTCTAATGATAGTTTAGCAAGACTCTGTCTCAACTTTGGATTTTCTATTTGTTGGGGTCTAGGCTTTTTGGGGGAGAACTTTCTACTTCTTATAAGCAATCATAGGTATGCTCTGAAATCTGATGGGAAAAAGTTGTTGATCCAGAAAACTCTTTGCAGAAGCCTTATTTTAGTGACATGTAGAAGGTAATTAAGATGTTTATGGATAAATGGGCAAGACTCATACAACACTGATAATTGCATACTTTGAAAATTTATTTGCCTGGCAGCAAACATGCATATATGCTTTAATCTTTATGGAAGTACTTAGTCAAGTCCAGGTTTTAGTCAAAGCATGGCATTCAGGAGGAGTCTGGGCCTCATTAATTCAGGTTCTATTAATTTGGAATATATGATAATTAATGCAAAGTTTTCCTTTGATTAATACAACCTTTGTCCTAGATTATTGGAAATTAATAGTATAAACTCGTTCCATAGGATATTAGAATGAGAAGACAAACTACAATGTCTACTGGTTCCCTAGAGTACTTTGAATCACTTTTCATTCACCAATAATTAATATGGTAATTAGAAAATTTCTCCATTGATTGAATTGCTTCTCCAGTGACTTATGTTTGATAACAGTTTGAATGACTCAACTATATTATCTGGTTTTCAGATACTGATTCCATTAACACTGTTTACAGACAAACAGGTAAATATTTGAAAGCAAGATAATTATGTGAGAGTTTTAAAATTCAGACCTGGCATATGGTTGTTCTAGTGTTCTTGATTAATTCTAATCAGGACAATATTACTATAATGCTACTAGACTTACAAATTAAACCAAACATATTCATTTTTTCTTTTTTTTTGGTTTGTGATGCCTTTACTTTGGTCTTGAAAGTACAGTACACATTTGGTAAAGCAGTGCTACAGATATACTTTTACTACTGAACTAATAAAAGGAGGCTCCAAAATCTATTATGAAATTGTGTTTTCAGATAAAGGGTGTTGCACAAGAGACTGTGGCATAACACTTTGCATCATGCTACCCACAGAAGATGTTTCTGAAGTATTGTTTGACTAAAGTCATCCCAACCCACTGAAGAACTTACACTTAAGTCATCCTAACGAATAAGCATAGAACTCTTTTCAGCATATGTGTCACAAACCACTTATTATTTTTTGGT